CAAAAAAAAAAAAAAAAAAAAAAAAATTGTTAGATTAGACAACTTCGGGATAACTAATTGATAAAATCAGATAATTTTTGGGATATTTTTCCAAAATGTTAGTGTAATGTTTATCTTTATATCTTCATCTGAAATTTGCAGAACTACGATATTAATGGTCTATATACATAAAAATGATTGACTAGGCAAAATTAATACGATCATCCACCATAATGATGATATTTGGTAGATTTTTTCTTCAGCACAGATTTGGTAAACAGCAGAATAACAACCACAAAACCTGCTGCTGCTGTACCTCCCACCACTATGGCCACTGTTTTTGCTGTGCCGTGCCTTGTCCCTGTAAATATTTACACATTAATTTTATTTTATTTATTTATTTTTTTTTTCTTTTTTGGAAGGGATTTACACACATTAATTGAAATCAAAGAAAAATACATCTACAATAAGTGAAAGAGAGGACGGTTTTTTTTTTCGGTCAATCACAAAACATACTCAAATCGGCTTAAGTCTTGGAGTAATTGAATATCAAATATTGATTGTCGTAGCATCTTAAGTTTTTATTCATTTGTTCAAATAATTTTAACCATTAATATCTTTTTTATTTTTTATTATAAATTAATAGGTTAACGCTAACTTTTATATCATACCGTATGACTCGGCAAGTCGGCATCTTAAGGTTACTCTACTAGTGTTAAAAGGGTTATTCCGTCAATGTTATAGCTTAGAAGTTACTTTATCAGTGTTGTAAGAGTTACTTTGTTAGTGTATATAGAATTTACTTCGTCATTGTTATAGAGTTACTCCATTCTTTTGAAAGCTTTGATAGGCTTAAAAGTCCATATTCGACAAAAAATATGAGTAATTATTTACCAAAAATGGCTTTAAAACCAATTTCACAATGGGCTGCCATAATTGTAAATGGCTTATTGGCTATTACATTAAAAAATTGTCAAGATCTTGGGATTGCTTAATTCCTAATCAACCACTCAAAACCATTTTCCCAACAAAAATATCTGAAATTGTGAAATTAAAAGTTGCAAAAGATACTCAAAATTAGGATTATGACAAAAAAAAAAAAAAAAAAAAAAAAAAAAAAAGACTTCGACATTAAGATATACTCAACGGCTATAATTATTTATTGCAATGGATATATTATCCTATATTTCCTAATTAAGTAAGATGTATAATGGATCCTCCTTTCTCCATCTCAAAGACAAGTACTTGTATACAATTGGAACCTACGATTGTGCTCTTCACTTTTTTGCACCTAAAAGTATTTCCCTCCAGCTCCCCCACCCAACTCATACATGCATTATTTTAAAAAATTGAATTATCGACTCAATCCGTTCCTTAAGATCTTGATCTTCTTACTCATGAGGGATCGAGTATGATTATATTTTTTCTTATGTACAGATTGTAAAAAGTTGGTCAAATTTTTTAAAATTTAACTACATAAATACAGTAGTAATTGGAATATGGAAAATGATGATGATGATGAATACATGTGTGATTATTCTCTCCAATTATCGAGCCATCTCATCATAAAAATGAAATTGAAAGAAATATGAAGTATAAATTTAGTTTCAAAATAATGTTCCCTTCTAATTTTCAAATTTTAGATAGTCCAAAGACCAAAGTATTGATTGTTGAAAAAAATAAAAAACAAAAAAGTAATAAATATTCGAAAGCACCTCTATAATGACTTTATATCAGAAATCCATATTAATTGAGAAACAAGTATATTTTGAGATTAACTTGTTATTGATAGATATTATAGTCATGATAATATTTGTAGCAAATTAGGATAATTTTGTATATAGTTTGTATCCTTATCGTACTAGGTTTCCTAACGTGATTAGGACTAGTCTTGTAAAACTCTATATATATTGATCAATGGTACACACTTAAAATTGAGGAGTTTTCCCGTAATCCAACATGGTATCACAGCTTTAGGTTATCGACTCTAGGAATTTCTTTTCTTTTTTCACAGCTTTCACACTTCCGTACAATAACCAAACCACCGCCCACCTTCCATGGCCAAGGACGACGAAACACCGCCACCTCCTCCACCGGCCAACGAATTTCATACGGCTCTCGCCTTTTATAATGTCAAACGCACCCTATTATTTCATGCCTCATTGCCCCCTTCCTATTGGTCACATGCTCTTGAGACGACCATATATCTCCTTAATATTTTGCCAACAAAATCTCTTAAGCAATTGACCCCGGCTTAGGCTCTTTTTCATAAAAACCCATCATATGACCACTTACGGGTTTTTGGTTGTCTTTGCTTCCCTAACCTTTCGGCAACCGCTCCTCACAAACTTGCTCCTAGATCTACTCCTTGTGTCTTCTTAGGGTACCCCTCCCATCACCGTGGTTACGAATGCCTTGACCTCGCTACTCGCAATGTCATCATTTCACGCCACGTAAGATTTGATGAGCCACTTTTCCCTTTAAGAACTTGGAACATTACACATTAAAAGATTATGATTTTTTGGCATTGATGAGTGTTCCCCTCTACTGACTCACATGCTCATGCGCCATTATGGCTCTCAAGCCAACCCACATCAAGGCCCAACTGCAGTGAGCCTCCCAAATGCTGAAATCAATACCCACCAAACCCTGCCTACCCCCCCTGTCCAGTAGTCCACTTCGCGCCCTCCCCCTGGCTCACCAGCCCACGCTGCAACCAACCCGCGGCCTACCCTGCCCACACCGCAACCTGCTAGCAGCCCTGCTTGCCACGCCACCTACAGCCTACTCCCTGCCACCAATGCATGGCGTGCCAGCCATCCAACCAACCCGGCCACCTCCTCCCTCCCCTAGAGTCACCCGTAGTCAACGGGGTATCTTCAAGCCTAACCCGAAATATTCTTTGAACTTGTCTGTCAATACCTCGGGTCCACCTCTTCATAAACCACCTCTTCCAAAGTTTTATAAACAAGCTTTAACTGGCCATAATTGGAACGCGGCGATGCATAACGAGTATAGTGCTTTGATTAAAACAGAGACATGGGATTTGGTGCCTAGGCCTATGGGGGTGAATATTGTTAATTGCATGTGGCTATTCAAACACAAATTTAAGTCTAATGGTGACCTTGAAAGGCACAAAACTCGTCTTGTATGTGATGGCTGGTCGCCGGAAGTTGGTGTGGATTGTGATGAGACTTTCAGTTTGGAAGTTAAACCGGCCACTATTCGTACTGTTCTAAGTTTAACCATGGCTAAAAAGTGGTCGATTCATTAACTAGATGTCAAAAATGCCTTTCTACAGGGTGATTTGCAAGAAACTGTTTTTATGCATCAACCTCTAGGTTTTGTTGATCGGAGAGCACCCTCTTATGTATGTCGGCTCCGCAAGGCTCTCTATGGTTTGAAACAAGCTCCCAGAGCTTGGTACTAGCGCTTTGCGAACTTTCTGATCAAATTGGGTTTTGTCATTGCCAAAAGTGACAACTCTGTTTTTACTTTCCAGCAGAGTGATGATATAGCATATTTGCTTCTATATGTTAATGATATTGTATTAGCTACCTATTCTAACAGGTTGCGTGAGAGAATCATATCTCAGTTGCAAACCGATTTCCCTATGTCTGATTTGGGCCCTCTGAGTTATTTTTTGGGGATTGCGGTGATCCGTACTCTTTCTTATATATTACTTTCTCGGCAAAAGTATACACAGGAGATTTTAGAACGTGCAGGCATGGGCTCTTGTAAGCCTGCAACCACTCCAGTTAATAGTAAGTCTAAACTTAGTGCAAATGCAGGACCACCTTTTCGGGATCCTACTTTGTGTCGCAGTTTAGCAGGTGCTCTCTAGTATCTTACTTTCACTAGGCCGGATATTACCTATGCGGTGCAACATATGTGTCTTTTTATGCATGATCCCCGAAAATCTCATTATGATGCTTTGAAACACATTCTACGCTATGTTCAGGGTACCATTGATCATGGTTTACATTTATATCCGTCTGCTTCTCATTGTTTGATTACTTACACTGACGTCGACTGGGAAGGTTGTCCCGACACCTGTCGTTCCACACCGGGTTATTGCTGCTTTCTTGGGGACAACCCCGTTTCTTGGTCATCTAAGCGTCAACCTACTCTATCTAAATCGAGTGCAGAAGCATAATATCGACGCATCGCAAATGTTGTCTCTGAGGCTTGTTGGCTTCGTAATCTTTTACTTGAGTTACATTGTCCTCTTCGATAGGCTACTATAGTATATTGTGATAATGTCAGTGCTATCTATTTTTCTAGTAACCTGGTTCAACACACCAACACACCAAACATGTGGAGATGGATATTTATTTTGTTCGAAAAAAGGTTGCTTAGGTACAAGTTTGGGTTCTACATGTTCCTTCCAGGTATCAGTTTGCAGACATTTTCACGAAAGGCCTTCCTCGAGACTTATTTTTGGATTTCAGATCCAGTCTTAGCATACGACTTCCTCCAGCTATGAATGCGGGGGAGTGGTAGATATTATAGTCATAATAATATTTGTCGTAGATTACGATAATTTTTGTATATAGTTTGTATCCTTATCGTATTAGGTTTCCTAACGTGATTAGGACTAGTGTTGTAAAACTCTATATATATTGATCAATAGTACACACTCCATATTGAGGAGTTTTCCCATAATCTAATAGTTATCTTATGATACCCCTCTAAATCCTTAAACTCTAATCAATATACTTCGTATAATTACAAGTTTATACTGAAAAAATTATTATGGAGTATAGTCCAATCCCATGACACATATTTTATCTTAATTTTTGTATACAAACATACCAATCACTTTCTCTTCTAGTCCATTAGTGGTGTACTAATTCTAATATGCATTTCTACTTCTATAAGATAAATTCCCATTAATGTATAAGATAAATAATATAGGCATATACTTCCTCTGTTTTACAAATATTGCAACGTGGATGAAATTACGCATCATAAAGCACAATTTATCTGTTAAATATGTATAATTATATAAGAGAAAAAATTATAAAAAGAAATTCATATTGTGAAAATTACGAGATAAATCTAACAAGACCCAACACGACTATATTTTACTTTACGTATAAATCATAATTTGTAATCAAACAAGCATGATGAATAATGCAAAAGTCTAATTGTTACAATATTACTAAAACGGAGAAAGTATGTATTTTAAAAATCGTGAAAAATCAAGTGGGGCAAACAACCCAGTACAGTCGTACATAGAGTGAGAGTTAGAGTAGAGGTTTTTTTTTTATTTTTTTTTATTTTTTATTTTTATTTTTTAAACCAGAGTAGAGGTATATTTTAATGTGAGAAGTTGATAACTACTCTAGTACTCTCTATTATGCAATTCGAGTATATACACAACTAACGTGAGTTCTTATATCAATCGACCCTTATGGCAAGTCTCAGTGGTTGGACTAAAAACCTAAAATCAAATCTCATGACTTCATGAGTGTTCACCCCCAAGTAAAAACGGTAACTACGTCACTACCTCACCACAATAACAAATCTCATATGTCATCCTCTTGGACCATCTCATAATATTAACTAACTTAACTACTATTCAAATCTTTAGATTAAAGTATACAAGTCAATCAATCACTTGGTCAAACTGCTTCACCCTTTTATTTGGCTGTAGAAGTCATCAATACTCCATGCTCATAAGGTGTTTGTCAAAATGCCCAAGAGAACAATGATCAGGTAAGCCTCAAATGGATGTATAATAATCTTCCCCTTACTTGGTTTTTTATAAATATGCAAGAAATAATATAAACTGCTTGGTACAATTGCACAAATTTACAAGACTACACTGCAATTGCACGAAGTCGTCGTAGTGGTTGAATTTGCTTCTTATTCATGGAACTAAGTACCAAGTATTGATTTTCATGTTTTGGCATCCATTTCAACATCTTGGTATCATTTTCGACGTAATTAAAGTACTTGGAATGCTGAAGTTTTGTATTATTTAACTGTTAGGAATTTGACTCAGTATCAGTGCAGAATGTTTCTAAGTTGAATTGTTCTAAGCATTATGCATCTCAACTAAATCCTGTGTTTTTCTAAATTATAAATTTAAGATAATGTTGAGTAGTTGTTCTCATCTAAGATGAACAGAAAAGGATTATAATAACAAATTATCGCAAATTGTTTGTGCTACTAGTTGATCAAGTTGTGGCAGTTGGTTTATTCTACTGTTATTTCACATGTTTTGCTAGCAAAATTTGAGGCTACCATGATTATTCCATGAATATGAATGACAACGCGTAATTAGTATTTCTAATGTGCCCGCCACTGAATCAGATGTATTAACCATTCAAATGAGTGTGAATGAATTGATTGAATTCTAAGAAGTTGGTCGCACAAAGCTTTGTATTTTAGGGCAGGAAATCCTCTGATAGTTCTTAGAAGTAGTCCTTGGAATATTGAGCCATGGAAAAATCTGATAAATCTCCTGCTCCGCGTTATCTTATTCTTATGTTTTACCGGATTCTCACCTGTCTTCTGCTTTTAATGCAGATCACTTCGATATCAGCAGCAACTCTTACAGAAGCACAAGCACTTCTCAGCTGGAAAAATTCCTTGCCTGAGTCGTCTAATCTCACATCATGGAATGTTTCCGATAATCCAAACCCATGCAATTGGACTGGCATTTTTTGCAACAACCTTGCATCCATCACCCGCATTGTCTTATCTAACAGAGGCCTCGCCGGCACCCTCACCAGCTTCAATTTCAGTGCATTTCCCAATATTACAAGATTCATTCTTGCAAAAAACAGTCTGAAAGGCCAAATCCCACCAAGCATTGGTAAGCTCTCCAAGCTTATTAAGTTGGACCTTGGAAACAACATGTTTGATGGGTTTATTCCACCGGAAATAGGTCAGTTGTCTCAACTTGACTCTCTTGTCCTGTATAATAACAGTATAGGCAATAAAATTCCTGTCCATCTCAGTAAGTTGGGGAAGCTAAGGCTCCTATACTTGGGTAGAAATAAGCTTACAAGCCCTGACTGGTCTATGTTCAATACCATGCCTATGTTATCAACCTTACAATTGTTGTTGAATGAATTAAATGGAGAGTTTCCAAGATTTATTTTAAGGTGCAGGAACTTGACTGAACTTTCTTTGGCAAATAATAAATTCAGTGGATCGATACCAGCATTGTTTTACAGCAGTCTTCCTAAACTTAAATACATTAACCTTAGTAATAACTTATTCACAGGACCAATATCACCTAAGATTTCTGAGCTCTCCAATCTGTATCACATTGAACTGAGCATTAACCAGCTTAATGGTTCAATTCCTGATAGCATTGGGTCCATTTCTAGCCTCAAAGTTCTGCACCTAAACCAAAATTTACTCACTGGGGGAATTCCATCTTCTATAGGAAACCTTAAAAACCTTGAAACCCTTTATCTTAATTCAAATAGATTGAATTCTACAATTCCTTCCAAACTTGGGTCATGTACTAACCTTACTGAGCTGCTTCTTTCTAATAATTCACTTAGTGGGGAGATACCATTGTCCTTGACAAATCTCAAAAATATATCAAAGATTGAGCTGTTTGTAAATGACATGTATGGTGAAATCCCCCCATATTTTTTGACCAACTGGACAAAGTTGACTTCCTTGCAACTTTATAGAAATAATTTTAGTGGGATTATCCCTCCAATAATAGGTCAACTGACAAAGCTAAAGTATCTTCTTCTCTACCAAAACAGTTTCAGCGGTTCCATACCGTCAGAGATAGGAAACCTGGAAGTCTTGCTCAAGCTGGACTTCTCAACAAACAAACTTTCAGGTCCAATCCCTCCAACCATTGGAAACCTAAGCAATCTTTCTGCCCTTAGCCTTTTCAACAACCAACTTACTGGAACAATCCCACCAGAGATTGGAAACCTAACCTCATTAACTATTCTTAATCTCAATAACAATCAGCTGCAAGGGGAGTTGCCAGGTACCCTGTCTAATCTTCGGAACCTAAAAGAATTCTCTGTCGCCCAAAATAACTTGGTTGGGAAAGTCCCGCCAAAATTTGGTGAGGATTTTCTTTCCCTTACTGCTGTTAGCTTTACAAATAACAATTTATCAGGGAATCTTCCTCCTGGCTTATGTAATGGTTTTCAGCTGGAGTACTTGACAGCTAATAATAATAGTTTTACTGGTGACCTTCCGGATTGCTTGAGGAATTGCTCAAAATTAACTAGAGTCCGGTTGGAAGAAAATGAGTTCAACGGGAGTATATCTGATGCATTTGGAATTCATCCGGATCTCTATTATATTAGCATGAATGACAACCAATTCGTTGGCAAGATTTCTCCCAAGTGGGGAGAATGTAAGAATCTGACAGATCTTCGGTTGGAGGGAAACAAACTTTCAGGGGGAATACCAACTGAGCTTGGGAAACTATCACGGTTGGGTGTTCTGACTCTTGGCTCAAATCATTTAAGTGGGACAATTCCAGATGAACTTGGTAATTTAAGCAAGCTGTACAACCTTAACTTGAGCAGTAATCAGTTGATAGGGCATATTCCACGAACCTTAGGAAAATTGAAGTCTCTTCAGTATCTAGATTTATCAGCAAACAATGTGTCTGGAGAAATCCCTATTGAGCTTGGAAATTGCGTACGATTATTGAGCTTAAACCTGAGTCACAATGACTTGCACGGAAATATACCAATCGAACTCTGCAACTTGAATGAACTTCAGTACCTTCTGGATCTTAGTAGTAACTCTTTCTCTGGTCAAATTCCTCAAAACCTTGATAAGCTCAAAACCTTGACAAAATTTAATCTCTCTCACAATCATCTTACCGGTGGTATCCCACACTCATTATCAAACATGTATAGTCTTAAGTCCTTTGATCTTTCCTACAACAGTTTATCAGGTTCAGTTCCTAGGGATGAATTTTTTCAAAAAGGAATATATGTGGGAAATCCTGGCCTTTGTGGAAATGCAACAGGACTATCCCCTTGTGGTAATCTTGATACTCATATAAAGATTATAATTGCAGTTGTCGTACCAGCTGTTTCTCTTTTGTTTCTTGGGGTAGGTATTGCTTATTTACTGCGTTGCCAGAATAATAACAATCATGGTGCAGAGAGTAGAGTTTTGGAGGTTGAAGAATCCGAATCTTTGATTTGGGAGACTGAAGAAAGATTTACATTTGCAGATATTCAAAAGGCGACTGATGATTTCAATGAGTTTTACTGCATTGGGAAAGGAGGTTTTGGTAATGTATATAAGGCATCTTTGCCATCAGGTCACATAGTTGCTGCTAAGAGGCTCCACATGGAAGAATTTAGCGACATCTCATCAACAAGTCGACAGAGTTTCATGAATGAGATCAAGGCATTGACACAGGTTAGGCATCGGAATATCATCAAATTGTACGGGTATTGTTCCAAAGGACGATCCATGTACTTGGTATATGACTACATTGAAAGGGGTAATTTGAGGGAAGTGTTGTATGATGCACAAGACAAAGTGAAATTAGGCTGGGAAAGAAGAGTGAGTATTGTGCGAGGGTTGGCACATGCAGTCTCTTACTTGCACCATGATTGTACCCCTTCCATTGTTCACCGTGACATATCCTTAAATAATGTCTTAATTGATAATGAATTTGAGCCTCGGTTATCAGATTTTGGTACCGCAAAGCTTCTTAAATCAGATACATCTTACTGGACTTCAATTGCTGGAGCTTATGGCTATATGGCCCCTGGTACGTCTGATCCTCGTCTTTATAATCCTAGTTGTAGACACGATTTGTTGTAGTTCATCATGCTTTCTGTCTTCATAATTAGTATTTTGTTTGATTTTTTCCCTCCCAGCACTCAAAATAAGGTAATTTTTCTTTTATTTGTTCGTAATTGGCAGAGCTGGCTCTGACAACGAGAGTGACAGAAAAGTGTGATGTTTATAGCTATGGAGTTGTGGCATTGGAAGTTTTGATGGGGAAGCATCCAGGAGACTTGCTTTCTTCTTTATCATCTTCAGATAGCAGGCCTGATATGCTACTGAAAGACATTTTGGACCAACGACTATCACCACCTACAACACGTTTAGCAGAGGAAGTGGTGATTGTATTCACATTAGCTCTGTTATGCGCGAGTTCAGAACCAGACTCACGGCCCACTATGCGTTATGTTGCTCAAGAACTATCAGCTCAAAAACACAATTACCTCTCCAAGCCTTTTGAAAAATTATCCCTCAGCAAGATGAATTCTCCTCAGAGTTATTGACAGAAAAGAAATGAACAAATTGGCCTCTGGTCTTTTCTGATGTAGCTCAGCTAAAGTAACACCTGATCCAATTGAGCTGATTCTCCTGGAAGCTATGGAAAATATCATGTTAATAGATTAATTTGGATTATTGTTTCAGTGTTTTTACTTTCTGATTCATGAATGTTAATTGCTTTCCTTTTGTAATGTTAGGAATTAAAGGGTGTTCTGCTGAAAGAACATAAACTATGCAATGATGCAGCATTGTCTACTGTGTGAATTCAATAGTTTTGCCAAGGTAAAGGTGATGCTTTGGTAGTTTGATGTGATAATTTAAGAATTACTGCAGTTCTAGATACTTTGCAAGATTAAGTAAATATGCTTCTCGAGTGCTCTTGATTTTTCATTTTTCTCAATATGCCAAAGGCAAAAGTTGCAGAGACTAGTTAGCTGTTTAAAGACCCCAACTTTTAGCTACAGTAGCTAGATCCTTTAAAGAGGCAATTGATCTAAGTTCATTTGTCATTCTGACTCTTCTTTCAATCTCCTGTCGCCACAAATCGCTGATATTTTATTTGGTTCAGGCCCTGCTAAGTGCTAACTTTGTAGCCTGGGATTCTGCTAACCTCTCCATAATATGCAATTTCAACCTTCAACTTGTTGAATAGCCAATTTGACATTAACTGGTAACTCTCTGTGTTAATTGGTGCAATGACCATTCATATTTTGAATTGGTATCTACTTATCAGATGGAAAGACTAATCTGAGTCTACAAAGTTCGAGTCTTGGAGTAATTTTTCAGAGCTCTAGACCCTGCAACTAGACTGTCATTTTTGCAACAACTGATTCCAACATCCTCATTAACATAACCAAAAATGCATAGAAGAATCAAACAAGTCATATTGTGAAAATCATGGTTTCTTCATTGAGCTGTTTTTTATTTGTGTGGTTCATGTAATATTAGTTTTTGCTGCAGAATATTGGCTCTATAGCAATTGATTTTCTACTTGAGTATGAGTTTTCAAATCCTTAGAACAAAGTAAAGAAAGATTCTTTGTGTATATTGATGATGATGATAATGTTTTATAAAATGACACTTCAAAAAACTTTGCAATTTCAGTTTTAAGATTCTACCAATTGAAACTATTTCATGTTATGCCTCTTGTATTTGTTCTATGAATCTTCGGCTAAGATACCGGCCAGAATACGGGAGGGGCGAGGGGGGGGGGGGAGTGTAGTAGCATTTTGCTGACCATGGTTGTTCAGATGGCTCTATGCCTTTCTGTACTTCTGTTTAGTGTGATATAACTTATTCTGTTATTCAGCATGTCTGCATATGTATGGACACTGGGCAGTAAGGTGTGTTGAACTCTTAAACTGTTGAAAGTCAAAGAGAGTCGAATAAAAAAGCATGGACTAAAATGAAAAGTGAGTAGATCAAAAATAACTGGAGATATCATTTGGATTCAGGGAGTTCTTATGCCCACTTAATTAGGAGGGAGTACAAGTCGGATGGATAGTTCCGTTCAACTGTCTAAATTTCTCAATGTGTATAACATTTTGTCATGATTGATAAAGAAGCAAAAGAGCCTATTGGAGTATGGAAATATGGTAGGGTAGATTTCCAATAATAATAAATAAAGACTATGAAAGTAGTTGTTTTCTAGTTAGATAAAAAGAAAAAGTAGGCTTCATTTGTGGAGTATCATTACTTAGCATATAATGCCTACTTTGGAATTATAGGCAATTAGGCACTATAAATTTTTTATAAGGTTGATTATCTTTTATTTTACTAGGTCTAATATGCTTCATTAAAATTGTAACGACACTTGTTCGCTTAAGATTAACTTAGAATTTCTAAGCTACAATCTGTTGTTATCCATCATTTAATTTTGCTTTACATTTAAAAAACAATATATATATATATATATATATATATATATATATATATATATATATATATATATATATAGAGTATGGATCATGTGAAAACAAATGTTAGGGTGAAAACTGAAAACGATTCATCCTAACCGTAGATTATAATCTAGCGGATGACATCTAACGTTTATATACTAATTTTCTCTCTCCTCCCACGAAAACAATTTCTCTCTCCTCCGTTATTTTCTTCCTCCTCTCCCTCCTCTCTCCTGCTTTCTCTCTCCTAATTTCTCGACATTTTTTTCCCCAATTTTCACGCTACTTTTTTCAAATTCAGCTTCAATTACTTTGATTTCAGCAATTTTTCAGCTCTACGATCTATTATCAGGTGAGTTCTTTGTGTTAATTTCGCTATTTTTTGCATGATTTGAGGTTTTAAGGTTTCTGAAATTTTCATCAATTTTGTTCGATTTTGTTTGATTTTGCGATTTTCTGTTCGATTTTGTTCAATTTAGTTCGATTTCCTGTTTTACTAATCGATTAACTTTAGTTTCTTCCTTAATTTCATTGATTTGTTCGATTCAGTTGAGTTTTTCCACCATTGTTAACTAATTTGAAGTTCAACTTGTTGATTTGATTGATTTTTTGCAGTGGAAGAAGAAGCGTATGAGGAGATTGAAGAGGAAGCGCCGATAGATGAGACGGAGATCTAAGTAGAAGAAGATCTACAGCTTTCACGATTTTTCACTCGCATTGAGAATTAGCTTTCTGATATTTGTGACGGTATTTTGAAGCTTCTGGACACTAAGCTTATTCCTCCTGCTAGTAGTGGTGATTCTAAGGTCTTTTATTTGAAGATGATGGGAGATTATCATAGGTATTTGCGGCTGAGTTTAAGACTGGTGCTGAGAGGAAAGAAGCCGCTGAGAGTATTCTCACAGCCTACAAGGCTGCTCAGGTTTAATTAATTTTTTCCTTTTTTTTGTTTGGTAGATCTGTTAATTAGGGTTTGGATTTGGTTTTTGTTTGTGATTTTTGCGTTGATTTGCTATGATATTTGCATTTTGCTGGAATCATTGAGGAATATTCAAGAATTTGATAAGCTCTTTATGAGTTTCTACTTCAAGAACAACTCATCTTCTGTGAGTGGCTCTTGTTTTACCATCTTTATAGGCTCCTGGTGCTTCTGTTGTTGATTACAGGAGTTATTATCGCATTCCTCTTGGACATCTGCAGTGTAAAATGTGAAGGATTAGTATCTATTTCTTTTTCGTTAAAACATATAAATTAGTTTTGAAAATCTGTTTTTCTTGATCAGATATTAGGAAGATAATATTTGATGAACTATAGGATGTTTGATAAGCTTGTTTGTTTCTTTCTTTAACCAAGAGCATTGATGGTTGTTCTTGCAATTGTGGTTTAAATGGTGTTTGAACATGGTAATATATATGTGTAAGAATCAAATGGAAAAAAGAATATGGACAGGAAATGAATAGATTTGTTTGGATCAGAAACTCGTAGAGGATACATATCCTCTAGTCTCTGATGGTATATTCTTTTATTGGGGAATTGGAGTCTTTTTTTAAGAATTGCTCTTGAAAATTTTAGGCATGTAATTGCTTACCTTTTTCTGTTATCTGATGCATGATTTTTACTTCATCAGGTGTCAATTTTTCCCTTTGATCTTCAATAACTGTTGATACTTTATTATCATCCTGAAACATGCAGGGTAAAGGACATGTTAGTTAAATGGTAGAAGTGTGTCTTTAGAAATTTATTTCTAGAACTCGAGTATGCTAGTTTGCGTTATTGCGAGCTCTATCATTCCTGATCTTACCTTGTCAGCTGGAGTTAGTGTAGTAACCTTCTTCAGCCTTTGTGAAGATTTATCTCTGATTGTATGATTTTTGGTGCCTGCCTGTTCAATATCTACATTTTGTCGGGATTCCTCATATACAGGTGGCTTGCTCGTATCATGATTTCCTGGTATGCTTTCATTTGCCTCTGCTTCTGTCCTTAAAACGTTGATCTTGTCAAGCTTGTTTTGCTTCAGTCTGTATGAAGTCTGTATGATGTTGGTCTGTGATGTTGGTATGCTTTTATTGGCTGTTTTGGCATGTTGAAAGCCTATTAGCTCAATTGGTCGAGCACCGTGTAATCACGGGATGTAGGTTCGAATCCTACATGGACTTTTTTAATACTTATTTTTATATTTATTGACCTCTGGGTAAATGGTGTCAAATTGATATAATTACCCGAAGTTCATATATAGTTACCTTATTTTCGATATAATGACCTTAGAATTATGGAAATGCTTTAAATTTTGTTTCAGTCACCTTATTTTTATATATAGTGATCTTTATTTTTGTATATAGTGACATTTATGTAAATGGTGTCAAAAACTCAGTCGATATAGTTACTTTATTTTTGTATATAGTGACCTTTATGTAAATGCTGTAAAAATTGTTATAGTTATCCTATTTTTGTATATAGTGACCTCTATGTAAATATGGTCAAAATTGAAATAGTTACCCTATTTTTGTATATAGTGACCTTAATGTAAATATTGTAAAAATTGATATAGCTACCCTATTTTTGTATATAGTTACGTTATTTTTATATATAGTGACTCTATGTAAATATCGTCAATTTAGATGAAGTTACCTTATTTTAAGCATGTAGTGACCTTTTAAACGGTTGAATTGATTATATGTAAGGTTGGAATGATCTTAGGGCTTTAGAACCGTCTGATCTTTTGTGCTAGTAATGAATGGCTAAGATTGCTTGTTTTTAGTTTTCACCATAAGCTCTGTTTTTAGCGGAACCTCCCCGTATATATATATATATATATATATATATAACCTTCCCTGATTTCAAAATAATTGCACTATTTACGTACACCAGTTGATTAATAATGTTTATACTTTATACGTGAGATTAAATATAATCATGTAGACCCTTATTTTAATCTTTCTCTATGTATAGTTTCTGAACATTAGCTTTTTATCAATGTATAGTTTCTTAATATTAACTCTATATCATTTGTAGTTGTTGGTAATTAATGTTATTATTGATCAAATTTTTGCGTTGACAAATGTGCCAGTTAACATGGACATTTATTTTGAAATAGAAGGAATTATTAAAAAAAATAAAAAAATGGTATGTCATAAATTTTCTCCATTCCAAATTTGTTAGACACGTTTTACTTTTGACACTATTTTATAAACTCTACTTTGACTAAATTATGTGATTGATAAAAAAAAAAAAAAAAAACTACCATATAATATTTTGTTAGATTCATAATCGGTTTCAATGTGTCTTTTAAAATATCAAATCGTTAGAATTTTTACTTATTGATAATTAGAGAAATTTACTGTTGAATTTATACATTGACAAACATGACAAAAGAAATTTTTCAACTAATTCATGTTATCTTTATTTCATAATAATTGACACATTCAAATTTGACATCCAATGCATTATTTTGACCTTAAATATAAATAACAGTAGTATGAAACTGTATATCAA